GGGAATGATCGATTTCTTTTTAAATTTTCATCCATTATATCAAGAGTTCTAAGTACATATTATAGAAGGCTAATAAACCTGGGCGGACATGATTCCAGACAGGATGGCCTCTTTGATGTCCCAATGACCCCTAACTTTACTTGAGAAGCATGGGCATGGGTGCCGTGCTGTCCAGTTGAAATCACATTGCTTGTTTGTCCAGTCGGTGTTTAAGTTTTGTTTAGTAGCTTTGACATCAAATACACAACTGAATGGCATAGAATCTACATGATGCCTTCAGAGTCAAAACTGACCATTAAAAAACAAAGTTTGCTTAAGTTTATATATGGCATCAAATCAGGCTACACGCGAGCCACTTTTATAATTTCGATACGCTGATTCCGAAAATAAAATCAGTGTTTAATCTGATTATTATTACTAAATTTATAGACTCAGAGTTCATTCCCGCGCGGCGGCAAACTTCAAAAGGATTCAGTGTCCCGGCTCGCGTCTCCCAATTCTGACTCATAAATTAGGCGTTACGGCTAAAATGCACTTCTTAAGAGTTCACTGACAAAATGCCTGTTTTCTGCCTGCGACGGAAAAAAAGGCAATCTGTCAGCAAACATCTAAAAAAAGGCGGTCTTGTTAAAACGTCTTGTTTAAGGCAAAGCTGACTTTTTTCGGGATTGTTTGTCTATTTCTCAAAGAAAATAAATAAAACTTACGTTGTAGGCTACATAGGGAATGACATTCTGATAAGGGTGTGAGTTCAAACGTTGATGTACTGTGCAAAATCGTTGAGATATTGTAAGAAAACTGAAAATCGTTGATTTCTCGAAACTGCTCAGGACAGAAAAAAGGCGTTTTGTCAGCTTACCTCAGTAGACCACTGACACCATCTTCCTCTCTCTATCATCCACAAATATATGCATAGTTAATTGTACTTTGTCTTTCCTCATAACTCACTGACCTTAACATTTTTGTCGTATCAATAATATGCATCTTGTCAGACTTTAAATAATTTGCCTTTTGTCAGTGTGATGACTAATTCCAAGCTTCTTCTGATGACTTACATTGCGTGCCCACATATCTACAATACTGCTTGCCTCTTTGTCTTTATGTGTGGTAATCAAAGACATCACTTTTACGCAACAAATCTTTGTGTTTGAGGGTAGAAAAGATTACTTCTGTGTTGTTTTTTTTACAAGTGTCATGATTTGTTGTTTCCCTTTTAAAGGTACAGTACAATCTGTTTATTTGTTTATCAATTTTTCATAAAGTAATTTTCGGACCTGAAAAATGTTGTCATTGGCAAAAAAATTCCCGGTGCCTTGTATGTGCCCGCACTTATTGTAGAGTAGCTAAAACTGATCTTTTTTAGTGGACTTTACCTGTGACTGACACAACTGCTATGTATAATTGCATATAGTGTAAACTGTTGGAATGTGGAGCTATCTTTTTTGGTTCTAACAATACTTTGACTACCACTATAAGATTGTTCATTATAAAAATAATTCTCTGAGAATGTTTTGGATGTGTTCTATTCCATATGGAGAGTATAATGTGCTTTTTTTTCTCGCAGATGTGGATAACAACTTGCTTCCAAGCCTGTCTGAGAACATAGCTAACCTATATTGCATGAAGGAGCTCAATCTTGGTTCCAATTCCCTGACAGAGCTACCTGATAGTATAGGGCTCTGCTGTAATCTCGAGGTATGACCAGTGTTCTGAAAAAATGCAACAACAATGCTTATACAGTACAGCATTCTAGTCTGTCATTGGTTTTTAAAGATCTGAGTTTCAGTTTTATGTCTAAGGTCTTATGTCTGATATTTGTATTTTTGTATATATATATATTATATATATATATATATATATATATATATATATATATATATATATATATATATATATATATATGTATATATAGGCCTACAGTGCAGCCTCTCTATAGCAACATAATTGGAATCTGAAAAAAATGTTGTTTTAGTGAGTTGTCACTATAGAGAGGCAACCAAAAATGTTACAAATGATATGTAGAAAAAATTGGGACCTGAGCACCATGTCTTTATACAGAGGATGTCGTTATAACTTCAATGTTATTAGTGTATGTGTTTAAACTGATAACAAGTTTTGGAATCAGTGTCTCCTTTAATTAACTCTTTGATTGTTACTTTTTTCTTTCTCTCTCGAAATACAGTCCCTCAATGTGGTGAACAACAAACTGACACATCTGCCGATTGAGCTGGGCGAGCTCTTAAAACTGCACACTCTGGTCATCTCCCAGAACGAGTTCACCTCCATCCCAGTCTGTGTGGGAGCACTGCGTGTCTTGACAGTCCTTCTCGCTGAAGACAACCAGATCTCTGAGGTGCCGGAGACATTTGCTGGTCTCTCATTTCTCAAACATTTCAACCTAAGCGTCAACCGCATCAGCAGCTTTCCCCTGGCTATTTGCCAGGTGCACTCGCTGGAGGTCCTGGACGTCTCTTGCAACAACCTCGTCGCTATTCCAGAGGAGATCTGTCAACTGAACAATCTGGAGATCCTAAACCTGAAGGAAAACCTCCTGGAAGAGATCCCCCCACAACTCTACTGTCTGTCGAAACTGAGAGGGCTGGACCTCTCGGACAATTCTCTCTCTGATGTGCCGGAGGAGGTTTCTCTCATGAGCTGTCTCCGGGAACTAGACTTGTCCAATAATAAATTCTTTGAATTCCCCAAGACAGTATTTGCTGTGCCTAGCCTTGAGACTCTTCGCTTTGATCAGAGTAATGGCCACAAGATTCCAAATCTTCCTGATGAGATTGAATTCTGTAAAGTAAAAGAATTGATCGTCAGTAATAACACACTCAGGACTTTGCCCAAAACCATTAATGGTATGACCAATTTAATCTCTCTCTATGCTGACCACAACGAGATCTGGTATCTGCCCGACAGTCTTTGTGAAATGCAGCAACTGCAACTGCTCCACCTGAACAGCAACCAGCTTACAACACTACCCTTCAACTTTGACAAGCTGATCTGCCTTCGCGACCTGCGGCTGTATGACAACCAGCTTAAGGTGCCGCCAATGGATGTGTGTGTCAGCGGAGTTATGCAGCCCATCGGATTCTTCCTCAGGAAGGCTTTTGTCAGAGAAGGTGAGCCACTAAATTTTAATATTTCCGTAGCACAGTTAAATTTTATGTTGTCGGAAACAAGCATAATGTATTAATTATAATAAACTGCACGACTTATATTTTCTTTTTGTTGTAATTTCTGGATTATTAGTTAGAAATTTTTTTTAAGGGACAGCCCTTATCGGTATTTTAAAAATTTTTGTCTGCTCAGTTCAGTCTGCTTTAATCTTTGTTTTTTATGAATGTTTACTTCCCTGCCCTGCTGAATGCTCCTGGGGAGAACCCATTATCCTTTAAATTGATAGATGATCACCAGCTCTAGCTGCTCATACTCTGATCATGCAGATGTGTCTTGACCGTCAAATTGGCCTATTATTACAGGTCAAAAGTTTTGTCAGATCAAAACTCCATACCGGTACTTGCGATCAGCACCCTTGCACTGTTTGTTTAGCTTATGAAGAAATTAACATAATCTTTGATCACAATTGTATTTGTTCTGCTTTTCTCAATGAGTAAGGTGGTTTTAGTCATGACAATTTTGAAGTTTGAATTACATGGTTATGTAAGAGAACAGTAAAAATTTGAGAATCCTATGAATTCATATGCTCTTTTATATATATATATAGATCTAGTGCTTGCTGGATTTTTTAAATCTTCTCCCTCCCTTGAGACTGTGTAGACCAAGCTTCACCTTCATGTCTATTTACTACCACTTCCACTTTCTTAACATGCAGGACAATATCTTGAAACTAATTGCGATTAAACACATGATATTGTTGTATGTAAGCAAATGTTGTTTTCATTATAATGTATGATACTGTCAGAGCGGTATTCTTAACTTGTACTGACTTATAGCAGAAACTCATCATGTGCAGTATGGATATATGGATTTACACTCTGAACTGAACACATTTTCAGAATGGGATGACCGCTCAAGTTTAGGGAATGTAGGCAAGGAGTTAATTTATTCCTTAATATTAGTCAGTGCAAAAACTAACCAAATGGAAGTGAGTGATTTGTGCACAATTAAATGTTTTTTCCCATAAGTAGCCTACTCGTCATGTTCTCTTACTTTTGTAGTTTGGGGAGGGTATACTCTTTAACAATATTCTTGTCCCTTGTTCTGTGTTAATCTACTCTTTTTTAAAATACTTGGATATCTATACATCAATTACAAAGGCAGGATGCTGTATATTCTCTTTCTTCAAGATCACAATTTTTTAAGTCTTTCAATATATATTAATTTTATTTTCATTTTGCATCTTGTTACTTCTTAAATACATCTAGTGTTAATTTGATAGATAGCTACATGATAATGAGTTGTAGAAGATGTATGAGTCTGCTCCTTTGTCAATATTTAGTCAACAGCCCTGTACGGTATTAAAGATGACATCCTCAATTTCATTTCTATTCTTCTTATAGAACTATTGATGGAGAGGATGTTCAATGCCATGAAGGATGACCTGAGTAAAACAGATCTGCGAGCTCTCCTGAAAAAGCTTAGGATGCCAGAAGATCAGACTTTTGAGTTGGAAACGAAGTATCCTGGTCGGGACCATTTACCTGAGCGAGTCGTTCAAGGCCTTAGACTCTGGCGGGAACACTTTGGACCATCTGCCACCATCGATGAATTGATCAGAATCACTCACATTATAAACTTTGAAACGATATCTCTCAAGCTGAAGACAATGAAGGTTTATGCTCAAAGGCTTCGTCTGTGAAAATGTATGACTTGTACCTTAAGAAATATTTTATTAAAAAGCAGCATAGTTCTCAGATCTTTCCCTGTTCTCTTAGTCTTACAAAAGGAAACGGGTAAAAATGACGTTTGAAAATTTTAAAATTGAAAACTGTGTCAAAAGATTTTAAGTGGGGTTGGGAGGGTGGGGCAGCAGAGAAGAATCTTATTAACTTTTGTCATGTCTAAATTTTATGATGAAGGTTTTTATGTTAGGAGAAATCCATCTTTGTTAATATTGTTTTGTATGCTCATATACTCTTTTACAGTAGAGAAGATCTATTATATGCCCAAGTTTTGAGGATGATTTTCTTATGCACAAATCTACTTAAATCTAAAGCTGTCTGCTCCTGTGTTCATAGATTGTTGGAGCAAATGAGAAATTTTTATTGTTTAAAATTATCCTTTCTTTTATAATGAACTAGTCCTTATGAAAAAACAAAATATTTGAGCTGTATTCCAAAGCAACAATCCCAGGACTTGTTTTCAATTACATATATATTACTAACAGTTTGTTTCACCATGACCGTTTAAATTATAAGTTGCCTTGAATTCTGTGCCTTAAGGAGCCTTCAAGTTATTTTTTGTTGTCTTTTACACCTCATAATTGACAAAAAAAGCTCTAATCTTTGGAGCTGTATAAGATACATATTCATTATATAAATGTGTTTTTGTTCCATACAAAGAGTTTATGGCTTAAGAAAATATTGTTTTAACCCTTGTCCTGCGGGGGCCGGGTTTATGTCGCCCGATAAGCATATTTCGGCACTTCGCCTGCATTCTGGTCCCAAGTCAGTCTAGCCCCTGGCTCAGCAATACGTGCGCCAAGCATCTTCTCACGTGAAATTCGGGTCCAGCGTCGGATCCCCATTCACGCAGGTCAAGTGTGTGTGCGTCAGTCTGCTTGAGTTTGTGTGCATTTGTGGCCTTCTTCTAGAACCGCCTGCATTGGTTCGTAATCGAGGCATACGTCTCATTCAAAACACGCCAAGTTGGTAGCTGTAGATGTTCGTCCAATGAAATTATAGAAGAAATTGACCCACTTAGACATGAGGAGCTCGAAAGGATAGTCAGGAAACAAGACTTCCATTTTTCTATACAAAACCTTTCAAATGAGCTTGATTTTGTATGAAATGATACTACATGATAAAAACTAAACTTGTTTGATAGTTTTGAATACCATTGGGCAGGTACAAAAAACAATTTGAGTGCAAAACATTTGGAAATTGACTTATATTATCCCCTTTCGAACCTCAGGTCATTCATAACAACAAGAGCGTCTAGAAAGGTTATTCGAATGGGCGTAACTACTCGTAATGTCTTATCAGCTTGTGAGAGAGGATTATTCATGTGTTTCTAACACTTTATAAATAGAAAGCTATGAAAGATAGAGTGTTATTTTCATCATTGAATAACACACTCCCACGGCATTCAGGCGAAAACACACGTTTCCCGGCTCGCAAGCTGTACACCAACTATACACACTGAGTGACCCCAGCGGCCTGTCCGGAACGTCCGACGTAATCGGTTGCTGATAAGATTCGCATCTCAGCACAGACGCAGGACAAGAGTTAATTATGATTGTACATGATATTTGTATATGAAAAAATATTTTTAAACTTGTTAGGTTGTTTTTTTTAACATTCGATTGATGTTTAGAATCATCACCTTGCAATATTTGTTTTTAACATTTTGTTAATTAACTTCAATTCAAATTTCGACCAAGTGTTCAACATTATTATTTGCAATTGCAGATTTTTATCCCAGCAAAAATGTAACGCATTGGAGTAACTGTTTTTAGAATAATGAAATAGTTTCTTCAACATGTTTTATCAATCATCAGGTGTTTTTCAAAAAATAATTTTTTTAAAGTGACCCATCAGGCTTTTTTAAAGATTGAACTATGTAATTTTTATAAATTTTGTATTCAATATCATAAGATGCGCTTAGTAAAAAGAAAATTGTTGAAATTGTGAATATCAAATCTTTATTGCCTTTTTAACATCTTCTTTTCTTGGTCTCATATATTATCCTTATTAAAAATATTGATAGAAAGTAACCGTATTTCATTCATGTCAGATTTGTACCCATGGTCTTTATATATCTACACTAAATTATAAATTGAAGGAGTCGATGCAAGAAAATTCATTTTTCTGTTAACATTGTGTATATTTGAATTGCTTGAAGGAAAAGAATGTAATTTGGGTGGCATGGAGAGAATGTGAGAATGCATGGTGGTCAATGGTTATGATTTCACTTTTACTCTGAGGAAAATCTGGAAAATAAGTTTGAAAAAAATTACTCAAAATGATCAGAGTTGTGTACCACTTATTTTAATGGTGGCATGATTTGATCTTTTCACAGTTTTGCTCTTTTTTTGTTCACTCCTCCTTCGTCCATTTTACATGATTAGGCAAATTTTGTTTGTTCTGATAAATACGCCAGTTGAAATAATTAACGGAAAAAATAAGATTCAAACAGAGCATTTTCAAGGAGAGTGGGATGTTGTTTTCTTCTGAGTTTGCTGGCTATTTGAAATTTTGTTACTGCTTAAAATAAATACTTTTAGAATTATATTCTAATACACTATATCACTCAAATTTAATTTGATTGAAAACCCTTTTTCTTGCATAAATGTGATAATCTTTTAATGTGGAATAATTGTTGTCTATAAGCAGTATTTTGTTAAAGCCTGTCTTTGCATTTTCATCTGTAAATGGTTATTCAATATACTTGTCCATTGTTTTAAACTTCATGTCCTCAGTGAACATAAAAGAAATTAGCTTATTTTTCTGCATTAAAATCTTAACTTTCTGTATATTTTTGCCTAAATTTAAGTGCCTACCGGATCTTATTTTGCTCTTTTGTTCTGTTCTGCAGCTGTGATGTGGCCTTTTCTCCCCACTGCCTTTTGTTCTTCCACTGCTGTTAAAGGTAGAGAATGTCTCATTTGTCTTTTGCCATAATTGTATAAAATTTTATACATATTTATAGAAAATCTGAATTTGTGAGACCAATGATCTATTTAATTAAAATCTTAAATATTTTAAAAGATATATTTTTACCATGGTGTATATCATACTTTCTGTATATATATATTTGCATGCATCTATTTTAGATGCTGGTTTTTATACTGACTTTACACATCCATGCAAATTATTTAATAATATTTTTTTCTACACTTCAAATTACCATGAATTAAGTGCAAAAGGTCTTCCTTTTTTTAGGAGAGTATTTTACATGGCTTTAATTGACGCTCCCTAATGATTAAAAGAAAATGCTAAAACTTCAAAATTTTTCTTGAGCACGTCAGACTCTGATCTTATGCAAGAGGCTCCATACTCAAAAGTTTTGCTGATGAGATTTTGCCCGGAAGAAAGAGAAATGTTTTTTTTATTTAATTGATTAAGTGGCTGCACCTGTATTGATTTGATTGAAATTGAACCAGCACATCTGATTTAGACTACATGTATCTTTTTTTCATCCCCCTTTTTAAGGGGTCAAGAAATAACCACTGTGATTCTTGTAAGCAAGAGGTTGTGAGACTAAGTCAACGTGCAAGTTTTTCCATCTGGTCTGACATTTCACAAATTTCCTCAGAGCACATTAAGGTATTTATTAGAGTGTCATAGTAAGATGGTTTAGGAAGCTGACTTTAAATCTGCAAGAGGTGTAAAAATACACAGGAGTCAGTCTTATGTTTCAGATCTGTTATGGCATTTATAACCTGGCCTTCCAGTTGTCAGCACAACTCATTAATATGAAAAGATTGTCTTTTTAAAGAATTTTATTAGCTGAAACGAGACTTTAATTTGTTGACGGTCATTTGATGTGAATATGCCAAAAATAGGAATAACATACAGATGATAACGCAGTCTGCCTTTAGCCTTTGGGGACGTCTTAGTGTATTTCTTTCATAGACGTACTGATGTAAAGCACCTGGATAAGCAAAATTCTAGGCTTTCTGAGGTTGATTTATGAATATGGCAATATTTATAGCCTAAGGCCTATTCGTTTCAAGAATTAGAAAGTAGGCCTACTGAAATACCTCTGTGTTGTCTTTCCATATATATTTTTTTTTCTGACAAAGCCAGAAGTATAGAAAGTATGGAAAGTGTTTTCAATAGGCCCATGCTACTCGCCCGATGTCGGATGACTAGCGTCAGTCTATTCGCCCGATCTAGGGTAGCTAGCGTCAGAAATGCAGTGCCATGATGCTATTAAAGATTGTCTAACTACTATCAAGATGTTTCAATTGCCCTATCTCACGTCTGAACGAGATTTGGACACTAGATCTACCTCGTCTTCTTAGCGAGAAAGGCCGAGATACGAGAGTAAACAGACGTTCCAGCGCTGAGTTGAAAGCGATAAATTTTGTCCTCAGGCAGAGAGAGAAAGAGAGAGAGGAGGAGGGGGGGGGGGCCGTAATTCGAGTGTAAACAAACGTTCCTGCGCTGAGTTGAAAGCGATAAATTTTGTCTTCGGGGGGAGAAAGAGAGAAAGAGAGTGACTGAATCTTGTGCGATTGATCAAGCGAATTTTAAAGGAGCATGTGCAGAAATCCCCACGGGCCAGAACACGGAACATGCGCAGAAATCCCCAAGGGCCAGAAGCCGCTGGCCTGGCGGGGCTAATCTATCAAATTCATTTGCCCGGAACCTGCGCAGAAATCCTAGATCGGGCGAGTAGCCTGGTGCACTCAGTTTTCAATATAATATGCAAACTTCTTGTCAACTTTCATTGGGGGGAGGTGGGGGGGTTCCGTATCTCTTCATTAAAGATGCCTGTGCTCTTTGTATCCTGGTGATCTCATTTTTGTAGTAGATTCCATTTCATGTACATAATAATGCATATATATCCATTTTGGGTTATGATATTGCCTTAGTGAATGAGCTTCTTCTGTGCCTTAGAACATATTTGAGATGATTTGTAGGACCGCTTTCTTTCACCATCAAATTGTTGAAATGGAAAGTTAATCCATATTATGCCATCCTTTTCTCTACTAAATTACAATGAAGTTTGCAAATGGAAATGAAAAGCTATTTCTTTTTTTTTTTTTTTTGGAGCATGGACAGGATTTAGCTTAGACGCATAGACATATGATTCTCATGAGTTAACTTTAGTGCATATATACAATATTCCTAAATACAATAGGAATCGAAATAGATATTCAAAGAAAAAGGCAATTTTTAAAAGAAAATATATTTGGCTGAAAGTTCATTCAGGTGGCAATCATCTTAGAAATGGGAAGGTGAAAGTGAAATCTTGAGGATTCCTTGAATTGTAACAGTCTGAGACATATAATACATACAATAGATAATAAACATACATGACATAATATAATCTTCAAATTGCTCTCAGCATGATAAGATCATTTTAACAGGTTATTATATATTTTTAATAAATAAAAACTTGCAGTATAACTATATTTTATGTAAATGTTTAATCAGGGTAGCAGTATGTAGAGCGGTATGCATGATTTTGTCATTGATTTACAAAGTACAGGTGACATAATATACTAAACATCTTGTTACCACAATAAAATTTTACATAAAACAAATTCCACTGTGATAAATCAATGTTCAATATATATATTAAAAGTAGCTAAAATGAGAATTCTCAATGTGTTGCTTGTCTTTTTTTCAATAGCTTCCAGAAATATATTGAAAGCTTTAATTATTTGAAACTTTACTTTTGCTTTTCTGCATATAGCCATTCTGACAAAATAACTACATGTATTATCACACACACACGCTTGCATGTACGCACACATACATACACACACACAACACACACACACACACATACACACACACACACACACACACACACACACACACACACACACACATACGCGTGCTGGGATCTGACAAAAAAATCAACTAAACCGAAGATCAACTCAAGCATGTTCATCAGAAAAG